CTAATAGAGACTCTACAATATGAGTAGCAACTAGAAAATGATCATTCAATAGCTCGGGCTGTCTACTAAATCTCAAAGCAAAGTACGAGGACACATAAGAGTGGGTAGATCCCGGATCAATCAACGCAAGTGCATCAAATGAATAGACAGAAAGAATACCTATAACCACTGCATTCGAGGCCTGAGCATCTTGTCTAGTAAATGTAAAAACTCTCGCTTGACCTTTACCAGCATTGCCTTGTCCTTGATTCACAGTAGCACGGTCTCCAGCACCTCGACCTCTATTTCCTGTACCTGTAGCGCCTGAAGTATTATGAGTAGTCTGAGTCGGTGCAGCTGACTGACTACAAGCCTGGTTGAAATTTCTCGGAGGCTGAGGGCAATCCCTCAAGTGATGTCCCAACTGGCCACACCGAAAGCACTCTCCAGTTAGAACACGACATTGGCCCAAATGTGATCTACCACAAGTCTGGCAGACTGGAGTAGTGACATATATCTGCCCAGAATTACGATGTCCAGAAGATGATGGTCCCCTATTACCTTGTCTGTAATGTAGTATGTATGTGGACTGTGAAGACATGTGTGTCCCTGTCTGAGAACCCTGTTGTTGTTGTCCCTGGTTTCCTGCTCTTCTATTTCACTAAAACCACCACTGAAAGCCCCTCCCATCTTGGCCTTCTTACGTAAATCATTAGTTGCACGCTCCTCACGTCCCTTGTTTTCAATCTTTCTAGCAAGGTCAACTACATCAGAGTAGGATAAAGTCTCCATCTGTGGGGCTACTGNACATCAAAGTAGGATAAAGTCTTTATCTGTGGGGCTACTACAGTGTATAGACAGCCAACCAATCCATCAACAAACCTCTGAACTCGAGCTTCTTCGGTAGGCACTAAGTGAGAAACATATATAGCCAGCTTACAGAACTTAGTGTTATATGTTGACACATCCATATCTGGAGTCTGAACCAATCTCTCAAAGTCTCTAGCATATTGTTGCATCAGACTGTCTCGAAGAAAATGATTCTTGAACAACTTAGTGAACTCGTCCCATGTCAGTGGTGCTGCTCCTGCTGGCCTTCCTAGCAATACAGTTTCATACCATGTGTTGGCCATATCCTCTAGTTTGTATGCTGCGAGCTCCACGGCTCTCTCACTAGAACATCCAAGAGCACGTAATGCCTTGAGTGTCCTATCCAAGAAACTTTGAGGATCTGCTGAATTATCGGAACCTGTGAATTTTGGTGATTTCAATTTCAGGAACTCGTGTAGGGACACTTCCTTATTCTCGAAAGGCTGAGTCTGTGTAGGTGCTTGTATCTGTAAAGTAGCCTGAGGAGCTGAACTTCCGCCTTGAGTAGGCACCAATGCCTCTAACACATTCAATAACCTTGCCACTGCATCTGCAGGTAAGGCAACAATAGGTACAACAGTTGGCACTGGTGGTGGAGCGTTCTGAACTCCTTGCTATTGCACTTGATCTGGCATAATAGCTTGGGTTTGACCCATGTTCCGAACTTAAGGTTGAGGGGCAGTCTGTCTTCTAGTTTGATGAACCCTAACTTGACCGCCACCCCAGGTAGCACCACGTCCAGCAGATGAGGGTGTGCGTGTCCTAGCCATCTGCGAAAGAAATATCTCAAAGTCAATCCTAAGTTATCTCAACGCACAATCAAAGAATGAAAGAAGAGAAAACATTCCTAGATGTTCAGTAGCCTCAAGATAGTGATTGGCGAAACGTACAAAGAAGATAGTGATAAACTGGAAATATTCCATTCATGATTTTTCGCTTTCTTATTTTTTCTTGGTTTTATCTTCCAATCCTGGAAATTCATGTTGCCATATTTTTCTGTTAAGGGTTTCTCTTTTCCATAAATAAATTCTACGAGGAATAGACTACTGAAGAAACTTTGGTGCAACTTGCAAGGTAATCATGCCAAAAGATTCTCGATTCGCTGCGTGTCACTAAAATATTACAATTTCCACCGGCAAAATACGAAAATAACTAATTAATTCTTTTGGCATTTTTAACAATGGAATGTGATATGTGAAAAGAAAAAAAGAAAAGAAAAAGTGTTCATGTAAGAAATTATTATCTAAATAATCATTGAAAAGGTGACGATTAAGAAAACACAAGCTTTTCTCAAAAATTTTGAAACTTGTACTGCTATACAACCCACCTCAACTTGATTTCTTGTATCCTCCGTTAGTCGGTTTGGCAATTACTCTATAAGAACTTAGGCCTAAAGACATGAGAAGTGTTACGCAACGCCTTCCTGATGTTCTTTGGAAGGGCAACGTAAGGCTAAGCAACCGATGTTAGTGCGGTTGCTGTTCGCCAATGAGGTCCCCTCCGCACGCTAGACTAGATTGTCAGTGCCGTGCGGGAAAATCAATGTCGTGAGCAATTGCGGAAGCTGAGAGAGAATTGGGTTTTGAATGATGATGATGATTTTATTGATGACTGAAAATGATGATTACAATGATGCGGTGTCGAGGGGGAGAGACACCAGAAAATGCTTGCTTGAAAATGTTTGATTGCTTGGTCCCCCTTAATAATGCTTACAAAAAATAAACCAACATTACAAGACTAGCCCTAATAAAGCTGTAGAAGCACCCTGAAATGAAAATGATGAAAACTAGCCTATGATTACAATGAAAAGGACTTAGATTATTACAAGGTAAAACTAAGTCCGATGGCAGCATCTTTGTCTTGCGGGTCAGGGTCTGCGCGCGCGTTGCTGTGGGCGCGCGCGACACTTGATGTGCTGGCCTGAGGCTGGGCACTGGTGCTTGGCATCAGGGTCTGTGCGCGAGGCGCTGCTGGAATGGGCCTGCAGCTGGGCGCTGGCGAGGCATCAGGATCTGCGCGCGCGATATTGTCAGGGCGCGCGGCGCTGTTGTCATTGGCCAGCCCTTGGGCGCTGGCGAGAGGCATCGGTGGGGCGACAGAGGCACATACGCGCTTGTCACTTGGCACAGCCAAGACCACGGGGCCGACCATGGTGCTAGGCATTGTGAGGCTTGCTAGGCCGCCATGGGGCGCGGCCAAGAGGTCATGGGGCATGTCTGGAAAGCAGCCCATGACAGAAGTTGTGTTAATCATAGTCGACAGTAGTAAAATGTTTGTCAAAATGATGATATAAGCTAAATAAACGACTAACGTAAACTACTAATCATTAGAAACAGCTAAACTTGTTGGATTTAATAATTCTAGAAAGCAAAAGTTTTCTTTTTTGTGTGTCCAGCGTTTGAAACTATATAATTTTTTTAATATTTAAGCATCTTACTGTGGCAGAAAGAATTTTTTCTGTTACAGTAGTGCCGAGGTCAGTCTAGGTCAACTGGCGCAATTCGACTATTCAACAGAGACCTAGTACCTTTCACTAATATAAATGTCAAGTAATTTTATCCATTAAAAATTAGGCAGATGAAAAGGGAAATTATCTAGTAATTTTATAAGTTGAGATTCGGAGCCTAGTATTCATGGTTTTATCACACTTATCCCCCTTCATTATTTTAGCAGTAAGAATTATTGAAATTCTTATCTATTATTATTTTATTAGTTTCTACATAAGATACTCTATCCGGATTGCCTTTGGACAAGAAAACGGTTTTAATTGTGCTTAGTTTTGTGCTTATATTCTTTTGTTTTCAGTGAGTGTTTGGGTAATGCTTTTGAGAGAATAGTTTTTCCAAAAATATATTTTTAACTTTTTGGACCTGATATCTGGTGTCTTCTGGAGCGCAAAACTAGCATTTACTGCAATTTGTATTATATTTTATTTTTCAGCTGTTATCTTAAAAATAAAGTACAATTGCATTTATTCCAGGACACAATTGAAGTTGTCCTATATACTCCCACATATGTAGATATTGATAGCAGAAGCAGCCTATAATAGGTTGTAAAATAGAACTTCCCTTGTGCCCAAAGAGAAAAAGATTAAATTTTTTAAATGAATCTTAATTAAGAACGGGGACTTGCTGTAATTACTTTCCCCGAATAAAGTATTAGTAGAGCATAAAAGAATAAAGCAACTTTTCCTTTTCTTTTTTCCTTTTTTGATGAAGGAAGTACATAAACTTTTTCACTATGAGGAATAATCCGACTAATGCATTCCACCACATATTAGAATCTCTACTTCATATATTTGATCAGCTAACCAACAACTACACTCATAATGTTCCAAAATGATTACCCCATTTTGCTTTTGGGGAATTAAATAAAGTGATCTTAAATGAGTGGCCTTATATATTTTTTTAAAAATTATCCAGTGTTTAAATATCTAAATTTTATCTTTTAAAAATAAACTGTAACTTATAGTAACTGATTTAATTTCAAATATAAATCTCCAACAGGACAATTCAGTAGCACGAGTACGAATTTCTGTAATCTGTGTCACTGAAATTGACTTCCCTGTTAATTTTTGCTTTAAGCATTCTGTATTCAAAACACATTGATGCGGCTAATCAGATGCGTGTCAGCTAAACTCAATAACACTTGGAATAATTAATGTGTTTTCTATAGTAGAACTCTAGAAATCTAATTAATATAATAGAGTGATCTCAATTATCCTAGCACACAAAAATGGGTGGCATACATCCACTCTCATAAAACAAAACTTAGTCTAATTAATTTACTGCCGACCGAGTTACTTCCCTAGATAACAAAGTACAAAGAGAAAAATAAATACAATTGAAAAGAGCCAAAACATAAAGCCCCACTGGTAACACACGAAGACTTGATAAAATGATCAAATCCATCCAAGATTTCCACAACTCAATGTCAGAAATCGACATCTCTTTTCTTTTTTTTAGCTCTCATCATGTGATCCCTTTAACCAGGAATCTCTACTCTCTAGATACCACTTCCCCTTGAACCTTCCTAGCCCCCCCACCCCCCAACAAAAAAAAAACCAAAATAAAATAAAATAAAGAACTTCTCTTTAATTATGTTATTGTTGTACTACTACTATATATATATATATATATATATATATATATATATATGGACAGTGTACTCAACTTGAAGACAAGTTCCACTTTATTTCCCTCCATTATTTCCACACCAAAACCAAAAGCCAAAGATGGTTTTGTGGAGCCAATTGGTCATCTCAAGTACTCTGCTTCTCCAATTGGTTAGCGTTATATCTCTGTTGTTACACACTGCTGCAAGAGCAGAGCTTGTAGTACAAAATGTTAGTGGTCTTAGTTGGAAAAGCAAAGGAGTAGTAAGCAGTAGCAGGTGCAACTTGTTTCAAGGTAGATGGGTTATTGACCCTTCTTTTCCTCTCTATGATTCCTCAACTTGCCCTTTCATTGACCCTGAATTTGATTGCCAAAAATATGGCCGCCCTGATAAACAATACATGAAATATTCTTGGAAACCTGATTCTTGCAACTTACCCAGGTACCCTTTCAAATTCTTCTTCCATTACTGTCAGTTTTTTATATGCAAGAATTAGATAGGAAACGTTGTGTCACCAGTTTTGGGGAAGCTAAGAAGTTTTTTCCCAATAACTATTTTTCATGTGCAAATATTGACTTAGAAGCAAAGAAGTTTTTCCCTTCTTAGTATGGTTTGCAGTGCAAAGCCAGAAATTATATTGAAACTTGAAATAAGTTAAAAAAAGCTCCCAATAAAGAGTGTTCAATATACCTTGTATATTTTACATATATATACAATGTAATTTTTCGACGAATGGTGAAGAGTTGACCACCTTAGGGCTACGAATGGTGAAGAGTTGACCACCTTAGGGCTATGTACCTTCCCCTGATGGTTTGGTGTAACTCTGTCTGTGTGAGCTTACTCATAGTGCTAGTTTCAAAGTTTAAAAGATGAGGATTGCAGTTGATTGAAAATAATATTAAGCTAGTCAATTTATGATAAATTCTCATTGTTTTAATATTGTTTAGTAGATTTTTTTTTGGTGGAGATTTTATTTGATTGTAGTGTTTGTGGATTTTGGTGTTATAGGTTTAATGGAAAAGATTTCTTGAAGAGATGGACAGGAAAGAAGATAATGTTTATAGGTGATTCGTTGAGTTTGAACATGTGGGAATCACTAGCTTGTATGCTACATGCGTCGGTGCCCAATGCCAAGACTTCTTTTGCTAGGAGAGAGACACTTTCTTCTGTGACCTTTCAGGTTTTACTCTCTTTTCTTTTTGTGTATGTTTTTAGTTTCTTCGTTTTACTTTCTGCTATTCACTCTGGGAAACAAGAGATAAGAAGATAAGTAATTTCTCAGTGGGGAACTCGAGTTTCTGTTAGTTCATCATTGCCTTGGGAAGAAACTCGAGTGAAACGGGAAAAAGAAAAGTCGTTTTTTTTAATTATTTTACTGTTTTTGATTGGGTGTAAACCATCTTTAATCCTAAGTATTTTAGGGCAAAAATGATTTTTCTAATCATTTGGTGATATTGGTTGCATTTAATAGTTGAAAACATCTACCTTACGTTATCATAATTGTAGCGGATCATGATGTTGGTTGTTAGCAAGTGGGAGGGTGTAGAACTCAGCCGAAAATAACTTACCTCTCTTACTTTGAAAATTTTCTCTCTTAAAATTCTATGCATGAAAGGTATAAAAAAAAGTACTTACACAATTATATTACTTTAAAGTAATTACATATAAAATTCTATCAATATATATAACATAATTTTTAACCTTAAAACAAAAAACACATACATATGTAATTGTATGTTCTCACGTGCTCTCCCTTAGTGTCACTCTCATTTTCTTTTACAATACTATGAGACTGCAATTAGCGCAAGATAGACAGATGGAGTTACGTTGTTGAGGAGAAAGTTCATTCCTTTAACAATTTTATATCTTCTGTTTGGCAAATCTTGAAGGAGGTACAACCAAGATCCAACTAACATATAGAATTAGTGAATAAAAAAGATTATCTTTTGTTTCTTGTGCCAGCAATGAGCAATCATTAATATAATATTACTACACAGAAAATATGAAAAGAAAATAGTACTAGAGAATAGTGGTAGGGCAAAGACCAAAGTTGTTCTAAGTCCAACAAAGGAAAAAGAGAACGCTGACTATTTAGCTTTCCAAGAAATTAGTTCGAAAGGAGACAACAGGAATTTTATTGGGTTTTGTCTTGTCTTCATTATCTGTAAAACCCGTGAACTCGTGCTTAACCTTTTTCCATTTTCTCCAAACTGCTCTCTTATTCGTCTCTGCCACTTCCTTTCTTGTTTTCCACCAAACCAAATGTCTTCCTTTCGTTTTCTACCAATGGAATTTGCTCTTTTACTTCACCCGATTACAAAGATTAGTCGATTCGCTAATTTGAATATGTTTCAAGATATTTAACAATTTTTAGAAACACAAAAAGTGATTGATAATTTCCAAATTAGTTAGAGAATTAAGAGACATTTACGCACATAATTTAATGATTTTTTCCACCTTGATTATTAAGGCTATTAACCGTAGGAAAACCTTAAAAAGTACTTATTCCGTTTAATTTTATTTGTCCACTATACTAAAAATATATTTTTATTTTTACTTATCCACTATACTAAATCAAGAGAAAGACATACTTTTTTTTTATTATTATTTTACCTTTATCATTAATTACTCATTTTCAAAATATTTTTCAAGACTTTTTGAAATGCTATCATTATTAGGGGCTATATAGTAATATATACACTATAATCATTATTTCTTAAGGGGTGTGAAATTTTTTTTACTGGACGAGTGAAAGTGAACGGAGAGATTAGATAATACGAATGGAAAGTAGTACTACTATTTTTTCAATTTTAAAATAGAAGAATTCTCAACTACTACAAGAAAATATTGGGAATGCCTTGAGAAGAAAAAAAAAAGGTTGGTGGTTCAAAATTACATTCCTTATAATTTGTACTCTTTTGTTGATAAAGACAAGTTAATGTCAACCATGGAGGTTCTAATCTTTGTTTTGCCTTTATGGTTCACCTAGTTACATCATCAAAATTGAGATATCCTCGTGGGATGTAGCAACTGCACTATACAAGTGACTAAGACCAAGAGCCCGTTTGGATTGGCGGAAAAAAGTGGCTTTTAAGCGCAAGTGCTTGAGCTGGTTTTACAAATAAACAGTTATGTGTTTGGATAAAAGTGCTAAGCTGAAAAAAAAGCTATTGAAATGTTTGGTAAAAAAGTGCTGACAAGCATTTTTTCGGTTAAAATGACTGAAATGCCCTTAAAGCTGTCAACATTAAAAATAAGCTTATTGATGCATTTTTTATTTTAAATTACCTCAAAAGTTTAAGTTATAACACTGATTAGATAAGATTATTTTAATTAATATGAAGTACTTATAAGGTAAGGCATTAATTAATAATCATAACTAAAAAATATGCTTAATTATAAAAATAATTCATATAAAATTACCCACATAGTAAAGAAATTGATGTAAAATAGTTTTCAAAATCAAAGAACCACGTAAACGTTACTTTCTTGTTATCTGCTTTCATATTTGATTATGCAAATGAATCAAAAGTGGAATCGGAAAGAATTAGAAGCTCTTGAAGTTGAGAAACAAGTCTTGCCAAGAATACTCCTGAATTTATGATACCATATATGAAGAAATGGGAAGAAAAAGAAACGTGTTAGAGGTTTCAGGAAGAGAGGGTACTTTGGAAATTATAGAAATATGTAAGGGATAATAGGGTAAATTACTTGGTCAAACTCAAGTAGCTTTTAAGCCCAAAAAAATAAGTTGGGATAGACCAACTTATTATTTTTGGCTTATTTTTAGTTATTTTGACTTAAAAGCTCTTTGACTTTTTGCATTTGCCAAACACCAAAACAAGCCAAAAAGTACTTTTAACCTAGTTTGGCTTGCTTTTAAGCCAATCCAAAGTCCATACACCCTCCAACCCATGTCTAGTAGAGCATTATTATCCAGTCGTATAGTTACAAGAGAGAAATAATTATCAATTGTAGTTGTTACCTGGCCAGAACATTGCCATAATCATTGGTAGGTCCAAGCTTTGAAGGCATGTTTTATTGCGACTTTTTTGGTTGTCAGGGCATAATAAGTATCTTCACCTTTGGCCTTAGCCAACTCTACCAAAAAAAAGCTCAAAAAAAAAAAAAAAAAANNNGCGGGTTTGATTCTCACCGGATGTGAGATACGTAGGCAACCCTCATCGGGTCCAACCCCCCTTTTGCTAAAAAAAAAGCCAAAAAAAAAAAAAAAAAAAACTAAAAGGCATTGCTTCGCTATAAAAGCTTCTGACAACCGTTATCAACTTGTTACTCATATTTATGGAAAAAAAAGGGTATTCCACTATAGCTTTTGATTATCTATAACTTTCAAGACTGAGAATTTGTCACTTTTCTTTGTTGCTTTATATCTTTTTCCCCTCAGGATTATGGAGTTACTTTATTCCTCTATCGAACTACTTACCTTGTGGATATAGTAAGAGAGAAAATTGGAAGGGTATTGAAATTGGATTCTATTCAACAAGGTGATGCTTGGAAAGGAATGGATATGCTAATTTTCAATTCTTGGCATTGGTGGACTCACAAGGGCAACTCTCAACCGTACGATCTTCCTTTCTCCATTTTTTCAATTTTTCTCAAGCAGTTTAAAACACACTCTATAATATATTAAGACATGAAATGGTTAGAGGCTTGAAAAAAAAACTATAGTGACAGAATCATATTTTTGTAGATGGGATTATGTGCAAGATGGTTCAAAGGTAACCAAAGATATGGACCGTTTGATGGCATTTTACAAGGGTCTAACTACTTGGGGAAGATGGGTTGACCAAAATGTTGACTCCTCCAAGACCAAAGTCTTCTTCCAGGGCATTTCTCCAACTCATTATATGTAAGTACTAAAACTCTTCACTTGCTCCAGCATCCTGTGAGAATATAAGCTGCATATACTGACGGTGTAAAAAATATTTTTACAATCATGTCAATTAGAAAGGCAACTACATTAAATCTTTGTAGTAATAAATATTGATTGATAATCTAGAAGGGGAATCTTGGAGCAACGGTGAAGTTTCCAGTTGGCCTACAAGTTATACAAGTTACTGGTTCGAGCCGTAGAATCAGTCAATGGTGCTTGCATCAGGGTAGGCTACCTACATCACACCCTTTGGGGTGCGCCCCTTCGCCGGACCCTGCGTGAACGCGGGATGCTTCTTCACCGGGCTGCCCATTGATTGATAACCTAGAAAAAGTGATATGCAACCTGCTACAACCAGCAGAAGTGTAAAAAAAATTATACTATCAATGAATATAACTTAAATACTTCTCACAAACCACCAACTTTCATTAATGAGAAATGTTTCCCTCTTTAGAAGCTCAAATTTCATACTTCATTCCATCTTTATCAGGGGTACAGAATGGGGAGGATCAACAAAGAATTGCAACTCCGAGCAAATGCCATTAGCAGGGTCAACATATCCAGCAGGGACACCAGCATCTGCTGTTGTAGTTAACAAAGTATTAAATAGGATGAAAACACCAGTTTACCTCCTCGATATCACGTTTCTCTCCCAGTTAAGGAAAGATGCTCATCCATCAGTTTACAGCGGCGATCACCCTGGTGTTGATTGCAGCCATTGGTGTCTCCCCGGACTACCTGATACTTGGAACCAGCTTCTCTACGCAGCTCTGATTATGTGAGGATGAACTATGAAGAACCTCATAAAATTTATCCTTTTAATCTTCCTTTCCACTTATAAAGTGAAAATTAACTGTACATTTGTGGAGGTATTTGAAGACCATCGGCTGAAAACAGCGAGCAATCAGGTGCACGTGGCAATCATTGGCGCAGTCCTGGACTTCTTAATAATTGGAGCCAGCTTCTTTGTGCAGCAATTCTTCTCTGAAGATGAAGAATTCAAATTATTTTTTATTGCCCATAGTTTGTTTCTTTTCATAGGTATTGGTCTGCGTATTATTGGGGCCTAGGCTCCACTGTGAAAAAATTTGATTCAAGGATATACAATAGCTTTTAGATGTAATAAGAACTATGATTGGGGAGTAGGGGTGCACAGGAGTGCTGATAATTTCCAGCTACTAGCTTGAAGTTTCTTTTCATTTTATTAAACAATTATGAATAAAAGCAGATTTTCTCTGCTTATTTCTGGATTTAAGACTTCCCGAGTCCTAGTACATGTAAAAGCTTAATATCTAGATATGGAACTTCATGTGTAAGTTTTAAGATTCACAAGTGAATTTTGCAACATTTAGACGAAAATTTTGGTCATTCAAAGAACTTTAAAGGAAAGTGATCACCATGGAAAAGATCGATTAACTTTACTACAAGGATTTGGATTTTGGACCAAAGTTAGATTTGAAATCTTCTAATTTTGTACAGTATTTACATTCCTCTTTGTCTCGTTTTCGGGAGAGGGAGCAGTAAATGTGCATGCACCTTTTTGCACTCATGTTGCAAACCTATGATAAGCAAGAATGATAGAGCGCCAAGGGATGTTCAAGAAATTTCCTCCAGAATAACTCAACTACTGAAGAACTTTGCATTGTTCATGGTTATTCAGTAGTTGAGTTAACACATAGAGTGTGTACAAAGAAGAAACAAGTAACCGTAGATTTGTCCTCTGATGAAATATACCTGAGACACTGATCCATTCATTTAGCATGGAATTAATTAACTTTAATGATTTTCTGATTTGGGCCACAGACTGGCAAACTCCATATAGACTGACAAGAAGAAACGCCACAAATCAAACACAGTAGTGAACAGAAATTAACCTGATGCCCAAAAGTATCATGGAAAGATTATTGTAGCAAAGCAAACAGATATATCAGCTAGGACACAATTAGAAACAACAGACTGAAGGCGAGGGTACAGAGAATCACCAGGGTTAGCTCCTCTATGAGTAGTAACTCTAAACAAAATAATATACTGACTACACAATATACTAAGAATCAACATTTGAAATTGTGGAAGAAAAACATATAATGTATTTTATAGTCAAAAACCTATAAAGAAAATTCTCTGAGGTGTACAAAACCGATTAGCTGAAAGCATATATTCTGCTCTAGTTCTATGAGGCTTAACGTCTATAAATCTCCCTCACACTAGGGCCAAATCGAACTTCTCCTCACAAAATGATAGTTTTCATATATTTAGTTCCATTGACTAACTTCCATTGGTATAAATCGTCTTAAGGAATAAGGACGACAAGTACACGGCTTGAGTTCACGCAGTTTACGAATCAAAGTATTATCAACTTCATCATCACATACAACAGCAGAATTCAAAAAGTATTAGCATCTGCACTTTTCAATTCCTTTAACACACAAAATCCGTTCTTCCAAAACCAAATTCAACACAAATTATCTTCCAAAACAAAAAAAATACGCCAAAACTTGCACATTTTCTAATCCAAATGACATCGAGCCACTTTATTGGAGGAAATGCTGAGATGAATTGTGCTAACAAATCACTAAAAACAACCTAATTTGGGTACTGTTTGACTCAAAAAATATCAGAACCTTTTTGAATAAATCAATTAAAGAAAATGAAGGGGTAAATCTTAGCTAAGCATAATAATCTCTAGATCAGAAGATAGACCAGGAGAATGTAAAGGATAAGAACTTTTTATCTCTTTCGAAAGAAAAATCAACAATAATCCAGTCAATCGTTTATGCAAGCGAGTTTACAGCAAGTATTATGAGTTAGGAAAGATGTCCAGAGAGCCCTCAAAGGTTGTTTTACGCTCTCTATATATAAGGGATCAAACCCTTCTAAGATCTAAAAGACAAGTTATAGGGAATATTCGAAAGAATATTCCTAAGGTCCCCTAATGGGCCTACCCTACTGCAAAGGTCGTACGACCTCTTATTTGCCTTAAGGTCATCCTCTGCAGGATGTCGAACTTTAAGGATCTCGTCGTTCGTCGTACTCATCAACAGTCGTGGTTGTTCAAATTTGGACCGATACAGTTAGTCCCTCCGCTTGTCGAGGTTCCAACTTGGTGCGTCATCGATGAGCGAACACCATACGTTCTTACAGAGAAATTTAACCCTACGAGGCGTTACAGCCTGGCCAATGGTGGGCGGTCAGCGTGCTTAGCAAGACACTAAGTAATGCATTTTACCGGAAAATGATGTCATCTTCACATGCGTCATCATTGCGCGTGTTTTTGAGACAGGGGTTGATGGCTTGTTGCTTCGATTTTGGTGCCACTGTGTGACCTTTCGCTTCGATTCTGGTGCCACCCAATCCTATAAATAGGTGGAGGGTTTGTTTTTTTGAAAATTCTTGGCCATTTCCTTTCTGATTACCCCTCCTCATTTCTCCGAGTTTGTCCTAACAACCTTTTTCGACTTCTTCTCACACTCTTAGTTCACAACTTCTTCTTCTTCTTCTCTTTTTTTTGGATGTGTCACTACCTCTTTTAACGAAAGCATGCCAAGATCACATCGATCTCGTGAAGGGGTTTCTGAGGCCGCCCCATTATCCATAGTGCACCCTTCAGGCGGTGAGGATATGGTGGTAGAAGAAGGTGATAGTCTTCCTACGGTGGAGGAGTTACTGCCGAGACACCCCATGTCTCGAAGTGACTTCCTCAAAGATCCCCCTTCTACTCCTACCCTCATACTATCTGAGACGGAACAAGTTCACGTTGACGCTCTTCGTGCAAAGTATGGCTTTTCCGCTCATGTTGACATTGTTCCAGTGGGAAGGGATTTCGTAGAGGTCCACAGACCTAGGTACTGCGCTTTCTACGAGTACCCTTTCGTGATTGGCTATTCTTTTCCCCTCCTCCCATTAGCGGAAGAGTTCTGTAGGTTCTACCTAGTCAGCCTGACCCAAGCTGCGGCTGGGGGGACAAGTCTACCTAGTTAGCCTGACCCAAGTACCGGGTCAAATCAATTTCAACCGGAAATTAACACTATTACCGGTGGTATTTTATATTATGACCCAAGAAAAGATAGGGAAGAATTAGCAAAAATGGTTACTGTTATGTGCTTACCCTATAGTTTTCCTTCTAACCCTCACTTTGTGCATTATATAAGAAGAATTTTTAATCCTACTTATAAAGTATGGCCTCGCACAACCGTAAAGAGCGATATTTATAAATATAAACATGAATATGAACATTATTTGCGCTATTTATTTACTCATATTAATTGTCGTATTGCTATTACTACTGATATTGGTAGAAGTGGTAATGACTGTGATTATCTTACTGTTACAAGACATTGGATTGATGAGGACTGGATAATGCAAAAGCGCATTATTGCTTATAGAATAATTAATTCACGTCACACAAAACAGTTTATTTCTAGCACCGTTACGGATGTTTGTAGATATTTTTGCATTATTGATAAAATAATGTCAATTTTAATGGATAATGCTACTAGTAATACTAATGTTGTAGCCTTGCTTACCACTACACTAAATCCTGCATTTAGTAACATTTTTCATGTTAGATGTATGTGTCATATTTACCATTTAATTGTGGGTGATGCTATGAGAATATTAAATGTTGAAATTGAAAAGGTTAAAATGGTTCTTCACTGGCTTTTTTATTCAAACCGTAGAAGTAGACTTAGAGAATATTTTAAAAGATATGATAAATTTGACCTAAGAGAAAGAAAGGTTCCTAAACCTTGTCCAACTAGATGGAATTACATATATGAAAGTTTAGTTGTTGCATATGAATATAGAAATCCCATAAACTCAATGTTTAATGCTCATGTAAGTGATGATGATGAGCACCTTATAAATGCGGATTGGGCTAATATTAAAATATTTGTAGATTTTTTAGAAAGATTTCATGTTGCTACAAATGAATTTTCTGGATAATATTATCCTACTATTTCAAACTGTTTAGTTTATCTTGTAGAACTTGCAAATTTTCTTGCTTATTTTTCAGAGGGTGGAGAAATTTATGAAGAAGCTATTGATTTTATGAGAAAGAAATTTAAAAAATATTTTTTCCCTATTCCCCCTATTTATGGAGATGTTGCCTTGTTAAATCCTACTATGAAATTAGGAGGTCCTCAATATTGGTATACATCTATTTATAATGGTTTAGCACTTGAAGATGAGGAGTTGTCTACACTTTCGGACGCAAAAGCTTCAATTAAAATAAATGCTCAAACTATTTATAGTGCTTATCAAATGACAATAGATAATGCTAGACCAAATGTTCCAACTCCTTCTTCTTCTAGTTCTCAATCATCTAAAAGAACTACAAGAGTAAGAACACTTACTGCTTGGACCAAGTTCAGGGGTTCTCAAGGTTGTCCCACTAGTGATTGTTCACAACTAAATGAGTTTGAAGTTTATTTGTCACAGGGACTTGAGGAAGTGAATCCCGACGGCTCATTTAATCTTTTGGAATGGTGGAAGGACAAAGAAAAATACTTTCCGATCCTTTCAAGGATGACCGAGACATTTTAACCATTCAAGCTTCGACAGTGGTATCATAAAGCGCTTTCAGTCAAGCAAGACTTCAACTCGGTGATTATAGAGCGTTTATGAGGGAAAGCTTAGAAAAATCAGTACTTTTCAGTGACTGGATCCGTTCGGAACGAAGAAATTTTGGTCTTGCTGAATTACAACCAGAGGTAGACGAAGCTTACGAAGAAATGCTAGCTGAACTTGCGGAGGATGCAGCTTCGTCCGGAAGCGGTGATGAACAAGCTTCTTTTCCGCCACCACCAACGGAAATTCCTCCAAACCTTGATGGATTTATGAAATTTGTAAGAGATACCATGTAAAATTAATATGTAACTTGTATTTTGGCATATCTTGATTAGTTTTTTTTTCCAATGGTGGTATTAACACCTTGGTTGTGCTCATTCCATTGAGGGAGGGGGGTGACTAAGAAAGATTGGACCATGTTTTGTTAATGTCATAATAATAAAAATTATAACGCATTCCTTTGAATATCTTTTTAAAATATTTTATCTTTTAAATTTGAATTAAAAAAATTTAAGTCACAATTATATATATATATATATATATATAAGCTATATAATTTACAAGAACTTGTCTTAGATAAAAAAAAATTTAAAAAAATTGGCCAGGCCCACTTAGCCCGGGACCATTAGTTCGTGGTCCCGATCCCAGTCCGATTACATCCAAAAGCCCACGAAGCCCGAGACCGTTTAA